TGGGTAGAGTACTCTTGGTTGTAGGTTCTTGCTATTCATCACTTTGAATATTTCTTGCCACTCATGTCTGGCATGTATAGTTCCTGTTGAGAAATCAGCTGACAATTGCATGGGTGCTCCCTTGCTTCTCTTGCTGCTTTTAATATTCTCTCTTTGTCTTTTGCTCTTGGCATTTTAATTATGATGTGTCTTGATGTGGTCCTCTTTGGATTCCTCTTGTTTGGGGTTCTGTGCACTTCCTGAACTTGTAAGTCTATTTCTTTCACCAGGTGGGGGAAGTTTTCAGTCATTATTTCTTCAAATAGGTTTTCAGTGTCTTTCTCTCTCTCTTCTTCTGTCACTCCCATAATTCTGATGTTGGTACACTTGAAGTTGTCCCAGAGGCTTCTTTCACTATCTCTAAATTTTTGGATTATTTCTCCTTTTAGATTTTCCAGTTTTTTCTTCTTTGTATTTCAAATCTTTGACTTGATTCTTACATTTCTCTAGTCTGCTGTTAGGTCTCTATATAATATTTTTTATTTCAGTCAGTGCATGTTTAATTTCTAGTTGGCCCCTTTTCATATTCTTGAGGGTTTGGCTAAATTTATTGGCCTTTTCTAGGAAATTCTTGAAAAACCTTATTTGAATTTTAAATCCAGATGTTTGCTTTCCTCCATTTCTTTCATTTGTGATCTGTTACTTTGTCTCCGCATTTTTGTTGCTTCCCTGTGTTGGTAGGGTAGCTTTGTGTGCTAGTTTTCTTATATGGCCCAGTGGGTCAGCCTCCCCAGTTACCTGAGGTGGACACTCCTGGTGCCCCCCTTTGTGGACTGTGTGTACAGCTTTGTTGTACCTAAGTTTTGATTTTTGTTTGTATCACTGGGAGGAATTGATCTCCAGGCCAATTGGCTTTGTGTATCAGCTGTGTCTACGCTGAAAGACCTGGGCTGGAGACAGCCTTATAGAACCAGACTTGCAAAATTGTAAAAGCCTCTGTGCTCAGCTTGGATTGAGTGGAGTCTCAGAACTGAGTAGACAGTCTTGGCTTCCCATCAGCCCTGCCCTTGTGCATGCACCTCCAGACATCTGCCTTCTGCAGCTCCTCTGAGTTTCCACCAGACAGTCCAGATTCCCCCAGGCTTGCCCGGAACTGGGATTCAGTGCAGTTGGAACTGAGGTTCAGTGCAGTCAGGAGCTTCCTACTCCCTTCTGCTAGGGAGAGCTAGTGGCACCTCAGTAGTCAAGTCTTCTCTGCGCAAACTTGCACACATGTGCTTGCAAGCCTCTAGACCCCTGTGCACGGCGGCTTCCCCAAGTCTCCATGTGCCTCTCTCTCTAGCTGACAGTCCAGGCTTCCCGCCACCCCGCCACCTGTCCCCATATGATCCTGGGCCCACGGGGTTTCACCCTGAACTGGGGCTCAGTGCAGTCGTGGGCTTCTTTCCCTCTCCCACCAGAGAAACCCAGCTGGGCACTCAGCCGCCCTTCCTCTCTTGCATGCGTGTCTCCATATCTCAGTCCTTTGCAGCTCCTCTGATTCTCCATGTATTTTCCTCTTTCCTTCTAGTTGTAGAATTTCCACTCAGCCAGCTTTCCTGTGGTTCTGGATAATGTAAATTCTGTCTTTTAGTTATAGTTTTTTTTTTTTAAATCAATCTTTATTGTTCATATTATTACAAAGGTTCCTCATTTCTTCCCCCTTCCACCAGGTTCCCACCCCACCCTCTGCCCCCTCCCCATCCCCCATTGTCCTCATCCATAGGTGCACAGTTTATGTTCAGTCTCTTCTTCCCTCCCTTTCCCCGATAGTAAATCCCTTTTCAGGTAGTAAATCAGTTATGGGCCAGACCCTGGGGACCCAGGCTCGGGCAGGGGGAGACGGGGCTGTGAGGCAGAATCCCAGGGGAGCGGCGAAAAGCAGAGTCCCCGGAGTTGCGCATATTGCACACTGAGAATGGAATGTTGACCCTGATGCTGAATTGCCCTGGTGGGAAGAAACAAATTTTAATGGAGAAAGGGAATGACAAGTCCTTCCCACCCAGAACAGGTAATCCAATTCCAACCAGCAGCTATGTTTAAACAATGTGTCCATTTTACACTTGAATGGCTACACCTTTTGATAGCCTAAGGGCAAGTTTACATGTAAACAAGTTTGCTCTCAATTCCCAGGGCAGAAAAAAAACAAGGTTTAAAATTATTAGATTTTAAAATTTATTTTTAGAAGTGTAAAAGTTTATTAATTAAAAAAACAACAACAACAACAACAACAAAAGGAGATTGAAAAACCTGATGAGCAATAATAGCAGTTCATTGTAGTAGAGTAGGCGATATGGGAGGGGAGTGGACTGGCTGTTCTCGGGGGGAAGGGAGGGAGGAAGAGACTGAACATAAACTGTGCATCTATGGATGGGACAATGGTGGGTGGGGAGGGGGCAGAAGGTGGGGTGGGAACCTGGTGGAAGGGGGAAGAAATGAGGAACCTTTGTAATAATATGAACAATAAAGATTGATATTAAAAAAAAAGAAAAGAAAAGCTAAAGTGTTCTTTTAAAAATCAGGAATAAGACATGGGTGTCTGCTTTCACCACTTCTATTTAACATAGTATTGGAAGTCCTGCCCACAGCAATAAGACAAGAAAAAGAATAAAAGGCATGCAAATTGAAAGGAGGAAGTAAAACTGTTATTGTAGATGATGGGATACTATATATACATGGAACCTTAAAAAATTCCCTCCAAATTATTAGAATTAATAAATGAATGCAGTAAAGTAGCAGAATATAAAACTGATATTCTAAATCAGTTGCATTTTATACACAAAAACCATACTATCAGAAAGGAAATTAATTAAACAATCCCATTTATAATTACATAAAAATACATTTACCCAAGGAGGTACAAGACCTATATTTGGAAAATATAAGGCAATGAAGAACAACATTGAATGGGAAGAATTAACATTGTTAAAAATTTCCATACTACCCAAAGCAACCTACAAATTTAATGCAATCTCTATCAAAATATCAATGATAGTTTTCACAGAACTAAAATATATAATCCTAAAATTTATATAAAATGGCAAAAAACCTCATTAGCCAAAGCAACCTTAGGAAAGAAGAATAAAGTTGGAGGTATCATGATACCTGATATAGGACTACACTACAAGGCTATAATGATGAAAACATAATGATAAAACAGACACATACATTAATAAAACAAAATAGTCTAGGAATAGTCCCATACCTACAAACAGTGCGTGGGGATGACATTCTCTGAGTATGCCTTTTTCTAAAGTTCTCATTCTTAGAAACATGTTAATATTTTATACACTAAAAATAAATCAATAAGCCTAGGGGGATAACCTAAAGTGAAATGCAAGCCAAAAATAAAAACAAACAAAAACACCTGAAAGATATTTCAAGTGAATAATGCAACCACACAGAAAGCAGGAATGGGGGGTGCGGAGGTTGGATTAATTCACATAATTTTTTACTGTCTGATCTCAGGCTTAGCAAATTTTGACCTCTAGATAGTAGACATCTTTTTTCATACGGACATGGGTTAACAATCATAAAATTAATTAACTTATATCCTAAATTTGATTGAATGTGTAAGTACATATGGATGATGGAAACAAGGTCTCAGAGAAGGGTGTTACAGGTACAAAAAAAGGGAAAGATGAAATGAATCCTGAGGAATAGATATAAACTTGTGGTTTTACAATAGATAGATGGATAGCTACATAGATAAATGTAGAAGTGGATAGATATGTATGATAGGACTTAGAACAATGCTAATCCAGAAGCAATTAGCATATGTACCACAGATTTTTAAAAAACATGTTTTATAGATATTTTAGAAAGAGAGGGAAAGAGAGGGAAGAGTAAAATATCAATGAGAGAGAAACATTGATGGGTTGCTTCCTGCCAGGCTGGTTGGAGGGGAGGGCAGTTGAGGGTGACCAGAGTGGCTGGGGGCAGTTGGGGGCAACTAGGCCAGCAGGAGGGGCAATTTGGGGTGACCATGGGAGCAAGGGGGGCAGTTAGGGTTGATCAGTCAGGCAAGCAAGTTAGGAGCCAGTGGTCCCGGATTGTAAGAGGGATGTCTGACTGCCAGTTCAGGCTCTAAACTGGCAATTGGACATCCCTCCAGGGGTCCCCGAATTGGAGAGGGTGCAGGCTGAGCTGAAGAGGACACCCCCCCCCCCCACCTCCCTGCATGAATTTTGTGTACCAAGCCTCTAGTTAATTATAAAAGGAATTATAGTACAATGAAAATATCTGGTGGACACTACCTTAACTAAGTGACCAATATACATCATATGGGACCAATATATATCACAGTACTCCTAATATGTAGCAAGAAGCAAGGCTGGAACTAGGATGAAGCAAGGCACCTAGGAAACTAGGATGAAGCTAGGCACCTAGGGTTCACCTTTATGCACTTTCATTAAGCTGAGAATGAATCCTTCCTTAGATTTTGTGTATGAGGTACCTCCTTTAACTCAACCTGGTGGCATGTGAAATCTTTATCAGATCTGGGGAGAGAAGTCTTGGGGGTAAACTCTCAGTTTATTAATACGTACGGCCGAATTTTATATTTCTTTTCAGATCACTTTGTCTTAATTGAGATTGATAAAACATAACTAGGGTTAAGAGAAATACAGGCACTACCTCAAGAGGGAGAACCTTAAAATTAAGGGCCGGGTTAAGGCTAAAAGCGGTTGGCCTTTGGAGAACCCGGTTGTGGGTGGTAGGCCCCCGGGCTCCACCCCGTTCCTGCTCACCTGCACGCACTCGGCGTCCACAGAGCCGCCTCCCAGAGCACGCACCCCGAAAAGCTCCCAGCGCCGCCTGACGTCACGGCGTCGGGGCGGGGCCAGCGGCGGGGCCGGGCCGCCTCCGGGAGCGCCGAGGGGGCGGGCCGGGCGGTGGCCTCTGGTGCGCGCTGGGTCTCTGCGGTGCTGGTGTTTGTAAGGCGCCCGCTGAGCAAGCGGCTGAGGCGGAGGCAGGCGGTCGTGATGCCTGGGCGGCCCACCGCCCCGGAGCAGGGGCGCCCGGAGCGGATCGCGCCGCACCCGCACACAGGCTTCGTGCTGGGGCTGGACGTGGGCAGCTCGGTGATCCGCTGCCACGTCTATGACCGCGCAGGGCGGGTCCGTGGCTCCAGCGCCCAGAAGGTGACGGGGAGTGGGCGTCGGGCCGTGGTCAGGGCAGCGAAGGCGAGCGGGCGGGCGCGTTTTTCCTGCCGTCGGGCGGCCACCTGCAGCCCGGCCCTCGGTCCCGCGGCGCACGGGGCGGGCTTTGCAGCCCCGGGGCAGACTGAAGCCCGCGCGCCCCTCCTGGCCCGGGAGGCCAGGGCCGCGGCGTTGGCGCCCGGCGCCTCGCCCCGCTCGCGGGTCCTGGCACCTGGGCGTTCGCCGCTCCGGCCTTACCTGGTGGGACTGCAGGGGCCGGCACTGGCAGGGCCGCTGCAGTCTCCGTGGAGGGGAGCTTTGTCACTGGGGTTTTCCTGCACTTCCTTGATAATATTGCAGCCTCTTCTTCGTTTATATTTTAAATTTTCAAATCTTGATAGAATTTAACTTTATTGTTCATTCTAACTTGTCTTCATTAACTACTTCTCAAAGTGCTGGTTCCTCATATGACCATCTGATTTCCATGGATATGGGAGGTATTGGACAACTTTTGAAGGTTGTTTTGTCATTACTTTTCTCAGTTCTGTTTTTGAGAGTTCATAAAAATAATCTTTCCGGTTTGAGAAACCTACCAAGTCATTAGTTGGCAGTAAATCCTTAGTAAAGCAGCCAACAGACAGGTACTCCTTATTTTAATGAAGAGCAGATTTCTACACTATTACCAGCTTATGGAAAATAACGTTGATTGGATTTGATGTTCTTATTTACTCGTCTTTCCAATACCAACATCTTTTTATGTTAGCAGAGTTAGGACAGGAACCATCAATCACCATTCTATCAGCATTGGACTCCCCATTTGCTCGGTTTCCACCCTTCTTCTAACCTCGTTAGACCTGTTTTTCATCCACAGCTGTTGCCTGGGAGCAAGTCTAGCCAAATGACTACTACTTTGGGCACTTGTTTTGAAGAAACAACGATTTCCCTTCTGGTTTGGGGACCAGGACAGTGAGTTGGGGTGACAGACTCCTTGGTCCTTTCGCTGGCTACGGGTGCAGAACACTGGGCACCCACCACCTATTCCAGGCCTATACCAACCAGAAAGGATAGATGAAAGGTGGGCACTGCCTTTCAGTAACTGTGCTCCATATCTTTGAATAAGCCTTTAGCAGCACAGTGATACTTTCAACACAATCTCCCTTGAAATTCTAGACACAGAGTACTTTTGTTTTAAGCAATGATTTTTTAAAAAAGAAATTGAAGTATTTGGAACCAAAGGGAGACAGAAATTGCTAGGAGATACAAAGTTTCACAGTTGCTATATTATTTGGGGCAAATCATTAGTTTTTTTTTTTTTTTTTTAAGAAATAAGGGAAGAATCTTAAAGGATGAATCATGATAACTGTGGATAGCAGGAGACTAGAATGGTTTGCTCAGACTCTAATGGGGGAAGGTATCTGGAAAGATATGTGAGTAAATAAACATACAAAAAGTCCCTACCTCAAAGGAGAAAGCACTGTCTTAGAGTTAATAGCAACGCCTCTCAAACTGTAGTAGGATTTTACAACTGTGTTTCTTAAAGTGTGGTTCTTAAACTGCTGGGTTGAGATAAAGAAACTAAGATTTAGAAAAGTGTGTAACAATTTTGCAGACTAATTTTATGATTATTGACCTTAATAAAACATTTGAGATTTTATTTTATATGTATTTTTTCTAGAAAGTTGTTTTGTATCTTTGAAAACTTTAAAAAATTACAGTTGACATTCAATATTATATTAGTTTCAGATATACAACTAATGGTTAGACATTTATAAAACAACGAAGTGATTACCTTGATAAGTCTAATACTCACTGACACCATAGATAGCTATTAGAGTATTATTGACTATATTCCCAATGCTGTACTTTATATCCCCATGACTATTTTGTAACTGACAATTTGTACTTCTTAATCCCTTCACCTCTTTCATCAGTTCTCTGTATCAATGAGTTTGTTTCTATTAGTTCATTTATTTTGTTTTTTAGATTCCACATGTAGGTAAAATCATATGGTATTTGTCTTTCTCTTCTGTCTGACTTATTTCACTTGGCATAAAACCCTCCATGCTGTCACAAATAGTAAGAGTTTGTTCTTTTTTATGGCTGAGTAATATTCCATTGCTTATATGTAATACAGCTTTTTTACCTATTTGTCTATTGATGTGCACTTGGGTTGCTTCCATATCTTGGTTGTTGTAAACAATGCTGCAATGAACATAGGAATTAATATATATTTTCAAATTAATGTTTTGGATTTTTTTGTATAAATATTCAGAAGTGGGATTGTTGGGTCTTATGATAGTTCTATTTTAATTTTTTGGCTATTACTCCATCTTGTTTTCCATCGTGCTTGCACAAATTTGCAGTCTCCACATCCTTGCCAACACTGGTTGTTGATTTCTTGATGATAGCCATTCTCACAGGTGTGGGATGATATCTTATTATGGTTTTATTTATTTATTTATTTTAAAAATATATTTTATTGAGTTTTTACAGAGAGGAAGAGAGAGGCATAGGAAGTTAGAAACATCAATCAGCTGCCTCCTGCACACCCCCTACTGGGGATGTGCCCGCAACCAAGTTACATGCCCTTGACCGGAATCGAACCTGGGACCTTGCAGTTCGCAGGATGACACTCTATCCACTGAGCCAAACTGGTTTTGGCTCTCATTGTGGTTTTAATTTGTATTTCTCTGATGATTAGTGGAGTTAAGCATTTTTAAAAATATCTCTTAAATATGTCTCTTTGGAGAATTGTCTATTCAGGTTCTCTGCCAAATTTTTAATGGAATTATTTTTCTTTTTGGTATTAAGTTATATGAGTTCCTTATATATTTTGGATGTTAACTCCTATTATTGTCAAATAATCTTCTCTCATTTAGTAAGTTCTTATTTTGTTGATAATTTCCTCCCTTGTGTAAAGACTCTTTAGTTTGATGTAGTTCCATTTATTTAATTTTCATTTTGTTTCCCTTTCCTGAGGAAACATATTAAAAAAAATATTACTGAGAAAAATGTCAGAGAGTTTATTGCGTATAGTTTCTTCTAGGAGTTTATGTTTTCAGTTCTTACATTTAAGTCTTCAGTCCATTTTGAGTTATTCTTGTATATGCTGTAAGAAAGTGTGTAGTTTCAGTATTTCGAATGCATTTGTATAATATTTTTAACACCATTTATTGAAGAGACTGTCTTTATCCCATTGTATATTCTTTTTTAAAAAAATATATTTTATTGATTTTACACAGAGAGGAATTGAGTGGGACAGAGAGTCAGAAACGTCGATGAGAGAGAAACATCGACCAGCTGCCTCTTGCACACCCCCTACCGGGGATGTGCCCGCAACCAAGGTACATGCCCTTGACTGGAATCGAACCCGGGACCCTTCAGTGGCAGACCGACGCTCTACCACTGAGCCAAACCGGTTTCGGCCCATTGTATAGTCTTGTCTCATTTTTCATACATTAATTTACTATATAGTCCTGAATTTATAACTGGGCTATTTATTCTGTTCCATTAACCTATGTGTCTGTTTTTATGCCAGTACTATGCTGTTTTGATAACTATAGCCTTGTAATATAGTTTGATATCAGGAAGCATGATATCTTCAATTTTGTTCTTTCTCAAGATTGTTTTGGCTATTTAAGATCTTTTACAGCTCCATATAAACTTTAGGATTTGTTTTAGATCTATGAAAACTGCCATTGCTATTTTGATAGGAATTGTGTTGAATCTATAGATTACTTTGGGTTGTGTGGACATTTTAATTATATTCTTCTTATCCAAGAACATGATATATGCTTCCACTTATTTGTTTTTTTCTCAATTTCTTTCTTCAGTGTCTTACTATTTTCCAAGTAAGGTCTGTTACCTCCAAGTTTAGATATATTTCTATGTATTTTATTTAGGGTATGATGGTAAATTGGTTTTCTTAGTTTTTCTCTTTTTGATAGTTCATTATCTATGTATATAAAACCCTAATATGCAAATAGACCAAATGGTGGAACAACTGAACAACCAAAGAACCAAACAACCTTTTTCTCTGACATGTGCTGACCATCAGGGGGCATGCATGGAACATGGCAGGACTTGGCAGCAGGTGACAAGGATGGAACATGGTGGGCATCAGTTGCAGCGGGATGGTGGAGCAAGTGAGGAGGGCTCCAGACCAAGGTGGGGAGCTGGTTGCTGTCATGGGGGCGAGCCTCTGGTGGTTACTGAAAATTCTTTGCTCCCATGTGCCACGGTCTGGCTGGGCGCTCATACCTGCTGTCGGTGCCCACACCTGCTGCTCACCCTGAAGCTGCTGCTCGCACCCACTGCTGGCACTGGCCACGATTGCTCAGCACTGTCAGTGGGTGCAAGCAGTGGCTACCAGCTCCAATCACCCCTCAGGGCTTCTGCACCTCCCCCTGCTCCTGAGGGGCGATTGGGGCCGGCAGTTGCCTCTTGCACTTGCTGCCGGCTATGGCCCCACTCACACCTGCAGCCAGTGCTGGAGCCACCGCTTGAACCTGCTACTGGTGCCGGTCCTAATCACTCTGCGTTGTCAGCAGGTGCAAGCAGGGCTGGTGCCATCAGCGTGTGGGAGCAGTGGCAGCTGGAGTGGGGCTGCCAGCAGACAAGGCTGTGGCAGGAGGGGCCAAGTGGGGGTGTGGAGGATGGGCCATAGCCTCATAGTGCCTTTCAAGGTGCGCGAATTCGTGCATTCAGTCCCTATCTGGTGTATAAAAATGCAATCAATTTCTGAATATTTGTTTTTTATCCAGCTGTCTTACTGAATTCATTAACTAGTTCTAATAATTTTTTTAGGTTTCTGTATTGTATCATGTTATCTGCAAATAATGACAGTTTTACTTCTTCCTTTCCAATTTGGATGCTTTTTATTTATTTTTCTTTCTGATTACTATGGCTAGGGCTTCTAATACTATATTTAATAGAAGTAACATCTTTGTCTTGTTTCTGATCTTAAGAACGATTTTAGTTTTTCACTGTTGGGTATGTGGTTA